AGATGTATAATTATTTTATAGGCTAATTTAGTTCAGTACTGTCTTTTTTAGTAACATTTCTTTCCTGTGGAAATGCAACTACCTTTTTGGGAGAGACATCTTTAAGTTCCCCTGTTCATATGGGCTAGTACTGAACAGGGTGTATAATGCATTATAAGTTGTGACATAGTTTTAATCAGCAGATCTATGAAAGATTATGAAGACTTTTCATGTTGATGTTTCCTTAAAATATTTTGGTTATGGATTGGACGCATTGAAATATACAGTAATATTTTGGCACTTTCAGAATAAGGAGCCGTTTTGAATTCTTAGTATTCAGTGTTCACTGATGATGCTAAATTATTTTTTGTTCTAGGTATGATAATCACAGAGAGGCTCTACTTAAAGGTGGGCTTGACGGAGAATATCAAGATGACAGCTTAGATTTGCTTCACTATTTCACTGTCACCTGTTATTCTGGCTATGGAGATGATGAAAAGGTAAGATGAATGAACTCACTTTTGATTTCTGACCAAGCATTAAGTAAGACTCAAATACAAAGAGAATGAACTAAAATTGTCCTGTAGTAGATTGAAGCAGTGTTCGTTTTGAAAACGGGAAATACATCGCCTTCATGTTTAAGGTGTCAGTGTCTGAAAACCTGCAGTGGAAACATAAGTGCGTTCACAGTGACAGAGCTGCGTCCTACGATTATTCTTCAACGTTAAGGTTTTTCATTTTACATTTTCAAATCTTACTCTGTGATTAGAATTTGTGTTTGTCTTTGTTACTGTCTTTCAGGGCTTCTACACAGTGTATCGTAATGTTTTTGAAATGATTGCAAAGGAAGAACTAGAATCCATATTAGAGGAGGATGTTGAGGATTTCCCAACTTTTGGAGACTCCCAGAGTGACTATGATACGGTAAAAGACAAACGCGTGGCATCTTATAATTAACACGTATCACTGTGCCTTTTCTCCCATTTTAAAAACATTGGTTCTAGTTCTTACTCCTATCCCATGGCCTCTCTTCCTCTCCCTCTCTTCTTGAAGGAGCTTTCAGCTCTCTCCCTGCCCTGCCCTCTTGACTCTTCCTTACTTATTGACTGTCTCATGCAGTAGTCAGTGGGGCTGTTTTTCTTTTCTCATTAAATTCATTTTGAAGAGTGATTTATTCCGGAAAGCCTTAAAAGTGCTATCTTCTGCATTGATTCATAGGAATGTTACATATATGAAAAAAGATGTCTAGATGATGTCTTGTATCACGAATATTTGCTTTCTTTCTAAAAAATATTTTAAAGCTCAGCGTTGTACCTGCTTGCTTCCTCTCTAGGTAGTCCATCCTTTCTATGCGTATTGGCAGAGTTTCTGCACTCAGAAGAATTTCTCCTGGAAGGAAGAGTATGATACACGACACGCTTCAAACCGCTGGGAAAAACGGGCCATGGAGAAAGAAAACAAAAAGATTAGGGACAAAGCAAGGAAAGAGAAGAACGAGCTGGTCCGTCAGCTGGTGGCCTTCATTCGTAAAAGGGATAAAAGAGTGCAGGCGCATCGGAAACTTGTGGAAGAACAGAATGCGGAGAAGGCGCGGAAGGCCCAGGAGATGCGGCGGCAGCAGAAGCTGAAGCAGGCCAAGTACGTAATGCAGCCGATGTTAGCATCTGATGTTGACTCGAGCCTCACCCTTTGCAAGGCCTTGTTCTAAGTGATTTCCTCACAACACTTCTGTGAAGTAACTTCTGTTTTTATCCTCTGTTCTTTGAGGAAAGGAGGCAGACAGGCCTGAGGTCTCAGAGCCAGTAAATGGCAGAGTCGGGAATCAGCTGCGAGAGGTCTGACTCCAGATACCTTGGTTTGACCACCATGCCTGCAGCCTTTGTCACCGTACTCCGAGATAGTCACTTTCTTTCCTTCCCTTTGTTGTTAAGGGTTTCTGCAGTAGCATAACATCCAGAGCATTCTAGCAATCTTTTAAAAATTAGTCACTTGGCTTGGTGCCTGTGGCTCAAGTGGCTAAGGCGCAAGCCACATACACCTAAGATGGTGGGTTTGAATCCAGCCCAGACCC